ATTCTAAATTCAATAACTCCTACAATCTTATTCTGATAAATATAATACAATTCTATCCATATCAGAAATTATCTCTAGCTCATGTATTTCGGCATTCACTAGACGAGCAGTGCATGTTTAAATTTCTCTGAACATAATTTTAACGAGAAAAATGTTGCCTTTCAGGTTCTTTCATTAAGTTTTACAATAGACATGGATCATGATTGTACAACTGAAATGAACAAATTGCATTCGGTATGTTCAAGATACAATATACAATGATATATATACTAGTAGTCTAGGACCAAACCAAATAAGGAATATAAACCACGACCTAATCTACAGGATCGTGATAATCAACTAATTTGATATCTAATCTATACCATATACACTAACAAATCTAGATATATAAATCTATACCATAGATATATTAACTATGATGATAAAGAAACAAAATATAATGACATGGTCCAGATGATCACTTAACACAGTTATGAGAAATATCGATGTGGGGTTAAAATATGACATCTCGACAATTTCAAATGTGTCCAATAAAAAAGATTAAATTTAAAAAATTTTAACCTGAATAGCTTGACTTCCATCATCAGGAGACTTCTTCTGTCCGCGACGGAAACGAGCTTCCATATCTTGCAATTCTTGATTTAAGGATGCACATTCAACCTAAAACCACAAATCATATACAGCTTTATATCATTAACCTGAATTATTCGATCACTTGAGGAACTGGGATGCAGTTGGACAAGATTGTCCAACAGAACCCCAAATAGCAATGTTCTAAAAGGCGCTAGCACTCGTCGACGATGGGTTGAGCCTAGCTCCTAGAGCGCCTAGGCAAGGTCGTGAAAATATTAATAAAATTTATTTATATTTACCATCATGCATATATATTTATTTATTTATATATGATATAAAATTTTATATGAGATACATTAATTAATATGATCAAAATGCAAAATCTAATACAATCATATTTATTTATTAATTTTAATATGATTATTTTTATTTTATTATATAGTTAATATATATTTCATGCATAAAAATTTAAATCGTTGTTATCATTTTAAAAAATAAATTCAAAATTTTTAAACAAAAATATATGGGCACCTAGACCTCGTAGTCAGTCAGACGTGACTAACTTAGCAACCGCCAAGCACCTAGATGTCGTCCAATCATTCGAGCACACCTAGAATGACAGCCTAAGTAAAATTCATGCGCCCAAGTGCCACCTAGCACCCAGGCCGATTTTTAGAACAGATCCACATAGATGAAAAAAAGAAATATTACCTCCAGAAGTGCTACTTTTTGCTCAAGTTCGGCTGCCTTTGAAGTCCTATCATCTGCCGTTCTCTGATGAATACAAGATGATTACATTAATCAGTTGACTGTTAACATTAATATATCATAATATGTAATTATAATGTTAAATACTCTTTTGATTTGTACGTACACAAAGAATAGCAGTGTTCTTTAAGTTTGAAGTGTTAGTTGATTCCACATACAAAAAAGCCACCAGGAGGGTCTTTAAGATAGTTTTAGGTTGGATTTGAATGGGGGGAGCTAGATTTGTGGAATTGATTCCAGGGAATATTTCAAAATGACTCTTGAAGTCGCACACAAAATGACACCAAAATTTGTCCAAATTTGGAGCACAGGTATTTGAAATTCACTACATCCAAACCAACCCAATGAACTCATTACTAAGGATTTGAAATCTTGTCCTTCAAATCCCAAAATCCTAATGGAGGCTAAGGGGGGATTGGCTACAGAGTACAAATTAAAACCGGGTTTGAGTTTGACTGATTGGATAATTCTTTATACTCTTTAACACAAAATCCAACTCAAATTTAATCCAAACTCAACTCACATCAATATTATCACCACGTGTAAATAATATCAATCAATCATCCACACACATCACATCACTTTAATTCAATATTCATTTACTCACATATTTTTTACTACCTATCAATCATTTCCAATAACCTCTCTCTTATTTTTACATCACATCAGCTTTAAATTACGCTTTAAATATTATTTGAATACAAACTCAAAATTCCACTCAATCAACTTTATTTAAAATTAACTCATTTTTACGCAAAATCGAATCAAAACCGATTTTGGTTTATTTCCAATCGCCCCCTAAGGGTCGTTTAAAAACAAATAGTCACCAACTAAGACTGCCACCGTCAATATATTTCCATTTGACAAGTCAAAACACTTATCCTCTAAATTCTCTTCCAGATTCCAATGGAGATGTCAATATTAGGATACAGTGAACAGTGGACAATCGTAAAGAGAATCCAGAAGAGAGGAAAAAACAATCCCTATTCAAGAACTAAGCCGCCACGTAAGAAGATTTCTCGCAATAGAATATGATTTTGAAACATTAGACTCCTGAGGTTTGAGAACGTAATTAGTTTAAAAGAAATCTATTAAAGTTTACTAACCATTCTAATTAGTAGATTGATTGGCTATTGTAATGCTACTTCCATTCGGTTAGGGCCAGGGACGGATCTAGAAATTAAGAGTAGACTGGGCTAACATTTAAAATTCACTTTATAAAAACCACATAATATTTTTCTTTAAATGTTCACTGATATTGTGCTCGACGAGCTTTTAGAGGATCAAATTCATCAATAATAGAATTTATACTTATACTATTTAGTAAACTCCTTTTCGATAAAGAGCATCAAACAATCTTCGAGAAAACCATCCCGAGTAATAGTACGAAGTGTTACCGTTTTATAATTTATGTTTACTTTATACTTTTCAATTGTCTCGTATTTTTAAGACTAAGAAAAAACAAATGGAGATGAAAAAAAAAAA